GTGTGTGTGTGTGTGTGTGTGTGTGTGTGTGTGTGTGTGTGTGTGTGCACACAAGCGAGAGAGCGTGAAGGAAGGTTTATCACGGTCACCTTAGCCAGTGTGGACACTGAACCCATGTTGCTGGCATCATTGCACTGCAAACCAGCAATCGAGCCAGCCAAGCTAACCAATCCCCCGAATTTAAAAAAAGGACATGCAGACTTACAGCTTCAAATGCTCCAGTCTACACATTTTAAACTATTTCCCAACTTTCTATCCTCCTTGCTGTCATATACGTAGGGAAAACTGCTGATTTTTTTTTTTTAATCCCTCAACTTCCTTCCTAATCTGAAGATATTTGGCCCAACAGCAGTGGCTTTACCGTTGTTGTGGTGAAAACTTACTGCAGACTGAAAACTGACTTGGGGAGCCCAAGTGGAGCTTATATTTTAAAGTTTGAAACTGCTGATTAGAAGCAGTTTTTTTTTCTAAAATTCATTTAAAAAATCCAAATTCTAATGTCAATAATTAATCATATACAAAGAAAAGACAGGCATTAAGTTTTGAAGGGTGAGCTCTAAACAAATTGTGGACAGCAACCTTTCCGCTGAGGGGTGCACATCATGGAATAATGTTATAACATCTAGGATTGTATTCAACACATACTTCCATTTTTGCTTCTGAATGTTGAAGTCGCCACTGTGTAAATCGGCGCATCAATTCTATCTTCTCTTTCAGATTTTGAATGCCATGGATCAAATTGGTGATCACCTTTGTGGACAAAATAAAGAAATGCAATCAATCGTCATCCTATTTTATTGGTAATAATTACTGGAAGAATAATTAAATGTACTTTAAACAAAATCAGAAGTTGCTGGAAAAGCTCAGTAGGTCTGGCAACATCTGTGAAGGAAAAAATAGAGTTAACGTTTTGGGTCCAGTGACCCTTCCTCAGAACAAAAAAGTCCGCTTAAGAAAAGCCGAAACAACAGATACTGTAAATCAGGAACAAAATCAGAAGTTGCTGGAAAAGCTTTAGAACAGCTTTCTAAAACTGGCTTTATAATTCGAAGATGCATTGCAGTGAACCAATGGCTAAAGTCTAACTCGTGTATTAAATAATATTAAAACTCTGGGCCATAATTTGCATTTGCTATAGGTTAGTTTGGCCCATTTAATTGCATCAATATCTTACACAGCAAATTGCTGGAAATTACAACTGAAAAGCTTGAAGGAAACTTTGCAACTGGCACCTAAATGCACCAGGCAAGCAACGGAATCCCTCACAAAACAGATTAAGTGCACTGACGTTAATAGTGTAAGGATTGACAAAGAAATGGTAAATACAGTGGGCGGGTACTACATCTGAGAGCGCATAGGGAACAGAGGATGAAAGGGAAGAGGAAACCACAAAAGAAAAATAATCGACTTTTTAGATTTACATTTCTGAAATATTCAATGGGTATTTTTAGGAGAATGATTTCACACTTGTTTAGTTGTTTGTAGTACTTTATTAATACAGACTTAAACATGTACAGACTTTAAACGGCTCCAAACAGATTAATCTTCTATGATGAGACAAACGAGGTGCTGCTTTTCTTAAAATAAGACCACCATCTCTGGAATTGTTCATTGTTATACTTGCATGTAAATTTTTTTTGTAAAGGATAGCATCTTATTAGTCTGTATGTGCTGTCTTGCATACTAATCTTGTGACTCATGCAATCTCAGAATTCTAGTCATTCTCCGTTTAAGCTCTTTTCTCATTCTACCTTCTAGACTGAACAATGTCACATTTACCCACATCACCATCAGACAGACTTTTTGCTCACTCAACTCATCTATATCTATTTGCAACCTCCTTTTGCCTTCAAAATATTTTACTACCCATCTTGGTGTTGTCTGCAAATATAGCTATCATATTTTGCTTCTTTCATCCAAGTCATTGATGTGAACTGTAAAAAATTGAGACCCCTGCAGGACTTCACTCATAACTTCCTGTCAATCAGACAAAGACCAAATCCACATATTCGGTTTTCTGCCAGCAGTCTCCATCCATGCTAACATATTACTCCCTTGTTTTAAGGTGGTTTTCCATAATGGCTTTTAGTTTATAAAGGCATTATGTGTCAGAGTAGGTTTGGCAGGCCAAACTGTCTATTCCTGCGTGTACTGTATTGATGTGCTTCTTTGTAATTATTCAGGATAAAACTAATTAGTCACAGAAAAAGGTGGGTTAATTAGGAAGAGTCAGTATGGATCTCTAAAGGGGAAAATAGTGTTCAACTAATTGTAGGTTTTTGGAGAGATAATGGGGGGGGGGGGGGCGCAGGCATGATGGCTCAGTGGTTAACACTGCTGCCTCTCAGCGCCAGGGACCTGCGTTCAATTCCACCCTCGGTCTGTGTGGAGTTTGCACATTCTACCAGTGTCTGCGTGGGTTTCCTCCGGGTGCTCTGGTTTCCTCCCACAGTCCAAAGATGGGCACGCCAGGTGGATTGGCCATGCTAAATTGCCCACAGTGTTCAGGGATGTGTAGCTCAGCTGGGTTATAGGGGGGTGGGTCTGGAAGGGATGCTCCAAGGGTCGGTTTCCACACAGTAGAGATACTATGATAAAAAAATCTATGAAAATAAAGATTTGATGAGGGTAATACCATTGGACATGGTGTTCATGGACTTTCAGAAGGTGTGTGATATGGTGCCACACGACAGGTAGAAAAGGAAAATTGTATAGATATAAAATTGGCTGAATGATAGGAAACAGTAGTGCTCAATGGATATTTTTCAGGCTGGGACAGATTTGCAGTGGAGATCCTCAGGGGTCAGTATTTGGACCCTTGCTTTTCTCTGATATAATAACGATCTAGATCTTGGTACAGCTGCCAAATTCAATGTTCGCAGAGAACACGAAACTTGGACGAACTGTAAACTGACAGGACATGGTAGACCTCCAAAAGAACATAGACAGGTTGGAGATGTGGATGGATAGATGGCGGATGGGGTTCAATGTAGACAAGTGGGGGCGTTGCATTTTGGTACGAAGAACATCGAAAGGCATTATAAAATGGAGGGAACAATTCTAAGTGGGGTGGGGAGAAACGAAGGGACAGAACGATATGGGTCAGTATGTGTACAATAAAAGGTGGCAGCATAGATGGAGAAGTAACTCATGAAACACACAGTATCCTTGACTTTATTAATGGGACATGGAGTACAAGAGCAAGGAGATGATGTTTTTTTTTTAAGGCATTTATTGGACATCAGTTGAAGCATTGTGTGGCACCCAGAAACATACATCACAGGAAGGATGTGAATGATTGAAAATAGTATAAAAGTTATTCAAGAACAATGCCAGAGATGAGAAATCTCATATGAGGGTAGATTGAAGAACTTGGGACTGTCCTCTTTGAAGAAAAAGCTAAAAGATCTGATAGAGGTTTGCAAATTCATGCGCAGTCTTGATAGAGTAGAAAGAGAAATTATTCCTGTTCGTGAAAAGGATCAAGAATGAGAGGGCACAGAATTAAAGTAATTTGTAAAGGGAGCAAATGTGATGCAAACTTTTTAACACTAATTGGGAGGAAAAGGTCTTGTAACAATTTTGATCATAAGGAACAAAGTTTTGGAAAACTATTGGGACTAAAGACAGTCAAGTCACCAAGACCTGCTGGCCTGAATCCAAGGGTTTTCGAGGAAGTGGCTGCAGAGTGGTAGGACAGTCTAGGACCTGAGGGTACAGTGTCAAAGTGAAGGGACTAACCTTTAGAACTGTGAGGAGGAGGAATTTCTTGAGCAAGATGGTGGTTTAGCTATAGAACTCATGGTCTCTGCATCCTTCTGTGGCAAAGTCATTGAGCGTATTTAGGGTGGAACGGTGACTCAGTGGTTAGCATTGCTCCCTCACAGCACCAAGGACCTAGGTTCCACTCAGCCTCGGGCAACTGTCTATGCAGAGTTTGCACATTCCTCCCCATGTGTGAGTTTCCTCTGGGTGCTCTGGTTTCCTCCCCCAGTCCAAAGATGTGCAGGTCAGGTGGATTAGTCATGCTAAATTGCCCATAGTGGGCAGGCTAGGTGGATTAAACATTGGAAATGCAGGATTACAGGGATAAGGTAGCGGGGTGGGTCTGGGTAGGATGCTCCGAGGAGGGTCGATGTGGACTCAAGCCGAGTGGCCTGCTTCTACATTGTAGGGTTCTATGTTCTATGAAAGAGATAAATAGGTTCTTGACTAGTAAAGAGATCAGAGGTTACAGGGAGAAGGCAGGAGAATGGGGTTCAGAAACATATCAGCCACAACAGAATGGCAGAGCAGACTTGAAGGCCTAGGTGGCCCGATTCTGCTCCTCTCTTATGGTCTAATTGTACTAATGTCCTTCAGGGAAAGGAAATCTGCTGTTCTCACCTGGTTTGGCCTCCAAACCCACAGCAATGTGGCTAACTCGAGCAAGCCACTCAGTGCGAGTCTCAACAAAGTCTCAAAGAAATGAAACCAGATTGGACTACCTAGCATTGACCTATGCACTGGAAAAGACAATGGTAAAAACAGCTCTGTCAACTCTGCAAAGTCTTCCTTATTAACATCTGGTGTCTAGCACCAAAATTGGGAGAGCTATCTCACAGACGAGTCAAGTAACAGCCTGATGTGGTCATACCCATGGAATCATACCTTACAGCAATATCCCAGACAACTCCATTACAATTACGGAATCTGACCTGCCCCAATAGCGGGGCAGGCCTTGCAGACTTGACAGCACAGTCACATATAGTCAGGAGAGATTTACCCTGGGAGTCCTCAACTGACTCCAAATCCCTAGTTGTCTTCTGGCTTCACGCTAAACATGGCAGGAAACCTTCTGCTGATTACCATGTACCGTCCTCCCTCAGTTGATGAATCAATACTCCTTCATGGTGAACAACACTTGTAGGAAGCACTGAGTATGCTAAGGGCATAAAATGTATTCTGGGTGGGAGACTTCAATGTCCACTAAGAGGGGCTGGGCAGAAGCACTATTGACTGAACAGGTCAGGTCTTAAAGAACATAGCTGCTAGGCTGGGTTTGCAGCAGGTGGTGAAGGAACCAACATGAGGGAAAAACATACTTGACCTCATGCTCACCATTCTGTCAGCTGCAGATGCACCTGCCCATTATAATATTGTTAAGGCTGATGAGCATACAGTTGTTGGAGACAAAGCCCCCATCTTCACATGAAGAATGCCCTTGGTTTTGTGTGGTACTGCCATGGTGTTAAATGGGACAAATTTTGAACAGATCTAGCAAATCAAGATCAGGCATCCATGAGGTGCTGTAGGCTATTAACAGCAGTAGAATTGTACTCCAGCAAAAATCAACCTTACAGCCTGGCATATCTCCCAATCATTAATATCAATCCAGGGGATCAACCTTAGTGCTTCGGCCCATCCTATACACCAAAAGTTAATGATAATATTAGACAGCTGTATGAGAAGATAGATTGTATAGGATGGGCTGAAGGGCTGAAATTTTTGAGGATACTTGACAAGCTGCATGACCTTGGATGAGTCCTGTGAACATTCCCATACATGCTGCAGATAGCACAATTTTAAAAATTTGTTTTCTGTGCATGGCAGCGGTTTCGTCTATTGTATCTGTTGCTTCCTGTACTGGTTGTAATACTGTATGAGAGAGTCAGAGAGAGTACACGCACACGAGTCAGACAGAGCTTGTGCATGCGTGCCAGAGACCAAGCCAGAGTGTTTCATTCCAAGGCTGCTGGACTTCACCTCAG